TCACCCATAAAGCCGGTTGTAGTGTTTAAAGTCAGTTTTCTGCACTTTTCTTCACCAAAGCCAACTACAGAATTTTAGAGTTGACCCTCTGCACCAATTTCATCATTTTTGGTCCATTTTTAATCCAGTCCAAGTTCACTTACTTTTGCAATCTTTTAGGTGTTTAACTATGCACTTAAATGAACAAATTAGTCACTCAAATGTATTTTGTAACCATCAAAATCATTAGTATAACAATCTCCTCCTTTTTATGATCACAAAACACTTTGAGAATAAATTGATGAAAGCACATATATAGTCCAATATTAACAAGAAATTTCAGCACCAAAACAATTCAGAAAATGACATTAAACCACAAAAATTTAGCATACTTTCTCTCCCTTTTGTCATCCATCAAAAAGTATATAAACATAACCAAATAAGCTTCCTTTTAACTCGTGCATATCAACCTTGAAATCATCAAAAATATGTAATATAAGCACAATATCCATAGATTGCTCCCCCTCAATGAAAGCACTTAAGAATATAATCATCAAAATCATAGGCAATCACAAAGTCATATAACATTAAATACCACAATTCATGATAATAAGCTAAGAAATGTGCATAGATAATGATGAGGGCAAATTTTGGGAAAGAATCAAATTTAGAATGCAAAAAGAGAAAAGACATAATGTGTAAGAACTACCCACAAGAGCCGGCTATAAAAGTAAAGCCAGCTTTGATGCCTAATTAGGTTGGGTTACCATCAAGGATCCACCTATGTCAAAAACTGAAGAGTCGACCATGGTCTAAAGTTGACTTAAATTTGGAAACTCAAACTTTCTATTTTTTGAGTAGAGCTGGCTGTGAAAAGTTGTAGTCCGCTATGCTGGACTTAACTAATAAAAACAAAAGTTTTGGGGCTGTTTTGAAGAAAATGAAACTAATTTGATATTTCTCCATTTAACTAAGTTTAAGTTGGACATCAACTACTAAATCATGCAATCTTAGACATATATTAATGTGTACACCAACAACCAACATGGTTATAATCAAAATATAGACATCAAACTCATTAATTTACATAAATTTTAGCAAGAAATTACATCAAATTCAAAAACCATATCAAGCACCAAGATTTAACATACCAAGTTCATTTCTAACAAGAAAAACTAATCACAATCAAGAGGCTTTGTAAATATATCAACTAATTGATTCCTAGTAAGTAAAGATATCTCATTCCAAGCAATTTTAAAAATCAAAAGATTCTTTCTCCCTTTTTGTTATGCAACAAAAAAGTTTGAATACTACATAAAGAGCAAACAAAAGAGCTTCCCCTTAATGAAATAACTCATGGAAGCATGAACATGCTTGTATAACAATATCATCAAAATCATACCAAGAATATATAATCATCTATGATTTAAGTCATAAAAATCAAAAAAGATAAATGAAATAACACAAATGTGATATGCACTCAAGATAAAGCGAAATCTATATATAGCCATCATGCTCATAAAGAGTTTTAGATCCATGGGTTTACCTCCATTATTATTAGAGCAATTGAATACCACATTGGAGAGACCATTAATTTTACTTTCTACATTCCAAACTTCTTGTGCATCTCCTTTGTAAGTTCCCTTTGATTGGTGAAGATGTCATCTTTGAAATAATTTCATTTGAGGTTCCAATAAGTTTAATCATATTAAGTTTACCTAACATTGCTTTGGAAAATTCTTTGCAACAAAACCCATTAGTAGCACCAAAAATAATGTTAACACCATCATTAAGCACAATATATAAATTTCTTACCCTTGAGATGTATTACCAATAATCACATTACCTTTATAGGATCTCTCTCTTGGATAGATTTATATTCTTTGTTTTTGTGCTTGTTACATCTCAATTTTGTTCTTCTCACTTACTTCACATGGAAGTTGTGCGATACTATTGCTTTCAATATCCATTCTTTCCCTTGTTACCCAATAACATCTATATCATAATTTCACAACTCTTTCTAAAGCAAATGGAGCTAGTCTCATTGAAAACCACATAAAGAGATTCAACACTATTAATCCTTTTTATATGCATCATAACATATGATAATAAATATAAAAAATCTTATTCATTGAAATTAACCATGACCCTGCAAGCATTCAAGTGCATAACATACACTTGCACATAATCAAATATCATCAAAATCATCTATTTTGTTTTGAAAAAGATTCAAGCTCATCTGTAAGTAAAAAGATAGATTTAGTAAGAGCAAGATTATCATTCCTTAGTCTCTTGATATCATTAATGGAGCAATCAAGTACTCTGCACAACTCATCATAAGAATAATCATAAGAATTATTATGAAATGAACTAGAAGAGTTAGAGTTTACCTCTTCATTAAAGAAACTATCTTTTTGAGCCACAAAGCAAGGATTGGACACATCAACTTCCAAGGAGCCTTCATTCCCGGATGAACTACATTCATCATTGTTCCATGTGCAATAAATGCTTTCTTCTTCTTACCTTTCTTCAATTTGGGGCATTCATCTCTAATGTCTCATTTCATTGCACTCATAGCATTTGATACGCTTCTTACTTGGCTTTCCTCTATCATCATCATCACTACATATTCTTCCTCTAGAGTAGTGAATTTCCTTGTTTCTTCTAGAGGATTTCCCTTTTAGGCTCCTCTTCATATATTTCTTCACTTTCTTTGAAACCAATTTGGTGATGTCCTCTTCATTGCTAGACTCATCATCACTAGCATCATCTTTACTTTCTTCTTTTTGTTTGCTAGCCTTGAATGCAACATTCTTCTTCTTGTCAACCACCTCAACATCAACATCATTTTGCGTATCAATCACGTATGTTTTCAAGAATCAAAAAAGTACATCAAACTTGAGAATGTTGAGATTTTTAGTCTCTTAACTCTTAGACAAGCTTCTAAGGATCTTCCTCACCAATTCTTGAGTAAGATATACCTTTCGAAGAGCTTTGAGATTGGTGACTATATCATTGGATTTTGTGTACATGTCTTGAATGCTTTTCTCCGACTTCATTTTGAAAAGCTCATACATGTGAATAAGTCTGTTGATTTTTTACTCTTTCACTTGACTCGTTCTTTCATGTATTATCTCCAACATGACCCAAATCTCCTTAGCAGTGTCACACCCAGATGTTCTATTGAATTTCATTGAATTGAGAGCACATTAAAACATTTTGATTGCTTTGTTGTTGATCATGATCTTCTCCAAGTCTTTGTCACTCCATTCAATTTCTTCCTTTGGCACTTCACTTTCTCCAACAACTTTCATAGGCACATATGAACCATTATTAGTCACAAGCCATGCCTTGGGTTCATTAGCAAGTACGAATACCTTCATCCTATTCTTCCAATAATTATAATTAAAACTATCAAAGAAAAGAGGCTTGACAGTAGACAAACCTTCAAGTGGTGAAATAGCTTAAAATTGAGCTATCCCCGATCAACTCCTAAGTGGTTAAACCTTCAAATTGGAGCCCTTACTGTGATACCAATTGTTGATTCAATGCACTCCAAGAGGGGGGTGAATTGGAGATCAAAAATTTCCCTCTCTTTGCAACCACAAAGCAAAAATTAGAGAGAGTATGAAAGAAGAGCTTGCACAATCATTTTATAGAGGTTCGGTCCAATCACTTGGAGCCTAATCCTCTACCTAGGCTTCACTCACCAAGGATTTCCTCCACACTCTCCACTAAAAAGAACAAGGGATGCTTAAAGGAGTCACTCAATCCTTATACAAGAAAATGAGTTTTTCTCTCAAATTTCACCCCTTTACAAGATAAACCCAAGAATCCCCACTACGGATCACTCTTGAAAAAATAATCACACCTCCAAGATAACTCTCAAATAGAACAAATAAAGGATTACAAGCAAAAAATCACTCAGAGATCAAAATTTCAAGTTAAAACACAAGTTGGTAGATAAGAATATACAATATAAATGCCTAAAAACATGTTCCAGATCTTCTACCGACCATATTTATACCCCCTTGGTCCAAAATTGATGTTTCTAGCCTTTGGGGGGGTTGATTAAATTCTCTGCAAATCATTTTAAGTTTGCTGCAAATTTGTTAGTAGAATTGGCTCTACCTCCAAAGCTAGCTTTCATGTTTGGAGTTGGCTTTCTTGCTCCTACACATTCTATCTTTCTAAAGAGCCGACTGCAAAACACAAAGTTGACTTGGGAAATCTAACTTCAAAAGATTAAAAATTCTTTAAAGAACTTGACCGTTGAGCATTATATGCGCCATCACAAGCGATTGCAAAGTTATAACTAGCTTTGCATCCACTTTTCGTGCGAATCAAACTGCAAATTTGAAAACTTTTACCCATAAAGCCCGTTACAATGTTTAAAACTGACTCTTTGCACTTTTCTTCACCAAAGCCTGTTACAAAAATTTATGGCCGACTCTCTACAGCAATTTCATCATTTTTGGTCCATTTTTAATCTAATCCAAGTTCACTTACTTTTAAAATCTTTTAGACATTTAACTACATATTTAGATGAACCAATTAATTTAATAGGTACAATATATACTATTTAATGAAATAAATCTACACTTCCACTTTTGAATTAAATAAAATAACTCTTCTACATTTAAATTGAAATAAATTACACCAAATTTAATTGATAACATCATCCTACATTACAATTCCGATGATCATGAGCCCATCTCTTTTTTATAACATGACAATTTGAAAAACAATTTTTGAAAGGGATCTTTAACCTAGACCAATAACTAAACAGCACATAATTTTACCATCCATATTCAGTAACTACATGAGGTCAGGCCTTACCATCAACTTAGTAGTCTGAGTAAAAAAAACTCAATTCCCCTTAAATAAAATCTCAAATTCAAATTTTGTGAGACGTTGGGAGAGCTTCCCTCTTATGAAATGCGATGTGACTCAATTACAGATTAATTAAGACCAATATAGTTATCAAATACGAAGAAGTTAGTAAAAAAATAATAATAATAAGCCAAAGCAATAGATTATTTGTAAAACTTCAAGAGATAATATTTACATGTATAAGTGAGAAAACAAAAGTCAACAGCAAATATGGGAGAATTATGATTACAACACACGTACTACACATATTTGATAAGCAAAAAAACGAAAAATATTATGTTGGGGAATTTGTTGTCCAAGAACACGTATTCAAAACCATTCTATTGTACACTTTGGATAAAAACCTGTATTAGTAGCGACAGCAGAAAGAGCCTGCAATTCCTTCTGAACTTTGCGCCTTTCATAGAACACTGAACATGCAAGTGAATTGCACTTCACCCCACTCTCCACAAGCCAGTCCCCACCTCCACAGTGTCTACATATCTACAAGAAAGCAATACCCTAAATAAGCCAATGCATCGCCAGTAAAACTACCATGTCCATCGGAAGGAAGAACATGGGATCCATTTAAGAGAAACTCGGATTAACTTACAGCGGCAAGGTGTTGCATCTCTCTTTCTAACTTTGAAGTCCTTCCAATTATAGCTGTTGCAGGTGCAAGTTCCCTCTGAGAACATTTTCTGCAAAGATGAGCTGATGCTTGGACCAACTCACCGCAGAGTATACAATGCTTTGACAGATAGTAATAATCAATTCTGGTTCTGTGTAGGTTTGGAGCATTTACATTGCGTTTTCCAAAAGCTTCCCTGGCTGGGCGAGGCATTTCTAAGAACCACTGGTTCAAGTCAGCACCCACAAGCCCAAATACCCGCTGTAGGGTAGGGATTATCTGTTTGTTGATGTAATACATATCGTTTAATCTGTATGGGGAGTCAACGGTCAAAAGTTCCAATGGATCCACCACCATGTCAACCAGCCTAGCTCCAGGCTCCCCATGGATCACAACGTAAGGTACTCGTTCTGCATAGCGTGGTTCTGCCCTTGGATCTGCTTTCATAGCTTTAGTTGCCACAATTGCAGCTGGGGGAAGTGATGAACCTACTCTTGTGCTGTAGGTTCCTAATCGGACTTCCTTAGCAAAAACAAAATCCTGAAGGGACACTCTACCAGACAGAATCCGTGTCCACTGCCGTTGCAGATATGCTTTAACCTATGTAAAAATAAAAATAAAAATAACAATAAAATAATAATAATAATAATAACAATAATAATAATAACAGAAGAAGAAACAATAGATAACTTCAATAATCCATTTTAAAAAAATTTGTCAGATCATGCAAGTATTACGGCATTCAAACTGATGAAGCAATAAAAATCAATAAATTTTCTCAGTCAATGCAGGAATATCTTTGCAGACTAAATGAGCCCAAAATAATCACCTTCTATGCATAATCCCAATATGAATGCTAAATATAAAAGATTCTAAGCACTCTAATTCATTGATGGAATATGGCATTAGAACTGTCATAAACACTGGATTTGTTTTCTTCTGACCTCTCAAATTCATGGTAAATGAACATTTAGCCCTGGAAAGGAGGTATCTTTTTTATGTCAGTTAAAGAACTTCACAGTGCAAATTGACATGGTATGGAGTGCCAGCATAAAAATGCATAATTGCTTTTTAGGCTCTTTCTCAATTTGATTCACGGGCTTAAGTAAACCACTTCCAAAAACTTACGATATATCAGTTTCTTTATCTAATAGTTTATATCAGACAGTTGACAAGTGATTTGCCAGTTTTGACAGCTAAAGCATTGTAAAAGTTTTTCTTAAAAAAAGAGGCAAACTTTAAGACAAAAAAAAAACTCTACCTTTAAGATGTCCTGATGTTCAAAAAAATTCCTTAGGGACTGTTCCATTGTCTTGGCAACAGCCCCACAAGTATCTCTGCGAACTGTCTCAATACCTTTAGCATCAAAGACTGGTTTGACTTGATCAGGACTCTCATAGCTGTAACCAACATAACGCTTCTTGGTAAGAAGGAAACATGGGTGATAAACTTTTTCCATTTTCAGTGTCACCGGATTTGGATTCATTGCAGTTACCGCAGATGCAATCTCATGTCCAATTTGTAAAGATTCTTTGACAGTCCGTCCCTTAAGAAGAACAAACATGCTGCCCAAAGAAAGAAAAATAATAATAATAATAATAAAGCCCTTTTGCCTGGTTAAACTTAAAATGCATGGCAGTGAACAGCAAACAAGATTCCAAACAAGTTTAACATAAAAAGGGTTGTCACAGAAGTGCATGGCATAACATTTAATCTACTGCATTTAACATGGATGATCTCAGTGGTTGGTAAATCTGGTTCCCAAAGCCAAATGTAATGTCATATAAATCCTAAACTTTTTTGATTTATACCTCCATCCTATTAGGAGTCAGAGATTTGATTACCTGTCAGTGTCACCATATATTACTTTAGCTTTCCATTTATCATTTGTGTTCACAAATGAAATAGCTTTTTCCAGTGTACTTCGGCCACATTGGACGATACTGTCTGCAAGCTCAGCACAAGGCATGCGACCACTAAACCCAGCAGCTGTATAACCATATGTTACATTGGCTATCAGCTTTAGAGCAAGTTGTCTTGCATTAAATATCTGAAAAAATGTGAGACGTAAATTCAAATAATCATACCAGTTCATACAATAAG